AAATAAAACTGTTTACGACACGAAAACTTCTGGCTGATGATGATAATGCTGATGATTATTATGTAAATGGGTAAAAGTGCACAGGAAACAGGTAATAAAGAGGTTAAAATAATTTAAATAATTAATTATATAATTTTGTTTAGCATTATGCACTCGGATAAAAATCAGAAAATCATATTTTAAGGTTCTTTTGTATGGAAAAAGTAAGAAAAATTGTATTTTTATGAAGGAAATACATTTACTAGTTGATATTTGATACGCAAACCTCGAGCCATTCCAATAAACATCATCAATGAATATACTTTTTGCTGACTTTTAAAACCTTAGCTTTGTTATAACATACTCCCAAAATTCCATACACAAAACCAATACTGAAGAGCTCTTATTTTCTTTGAGTGCCCCGGCGAGTGGATGCTTTGTTCCGATGTGCGGTCTCTGCCAGGGGCCATGTTTTATGTGGCCCACGGAGCGTATGCGTAACGAGTGCACAAGTGGCCATCGTTGGCTGCCCGTGGGCATACAAAAGGAATCGTTTTGCTTGTCATTTCGCCGATTCAATTAACGCAACAACTCGAAACAAAGAGGGAGGGACAGGACACAAAAAGCCAAAGCTCTTCAAATCAGGAAGCCCAAGGTGCCTCCACTCGCTTTTAATGGGCAATTACATTTTAATGAGAGTTCTCTGCCGCCGCACCTCCTGTCGATAAATGCAAATTTTTGGCCAGAATCAGCAGAGGCTGAACCTCACCTTTAAAATCGTGCCAAAGGTCGCCTTAAAGCCATAGGGTCAGGACACAGGAACACTTGTGCTCCCAATTACATTGTCAGTGGTGTGTCCTGTGCCTTTTGCCTTTGTATGCAAATTCCGCATTCGCATCGTCCAACGTTATTAATTTCGAGCCAAGAGTTTATGTGCTCCGGTCCCCGCCTCCATATCGAACGCTTGACACATCAAAGCCCCGACCTGACAGAAGCACACGCCCTTTGCGTATTTTTTAAATATGCGTGTGCGATTAAAAAAAAAAGGAGGAATCAGTTACTGTAACAGCCGTAACGGCAACTGAATCAGAAACAAACATTAAAGGACCGACCGGCCGGCGCTTTCAATTGGAAAAGCCGAGAAAAACGGGGCGGCAAGCAGAAATATAATGAGTTTTGCTTGCTGCTCACAAACAGGCTCTGATACTGGCCATGGCCACACTCTGACAAGCGCTGACACTTTTCCGCTTTTCCATTTTTCCATACAAGAGGAGGCGGTGTCTGTGTGCTTAAGCGGGATAAATGTACATTAAAAAAAGCTGTTACGGGATTTTAGAATATTTTTTATGGCAATAAAGAGTTCAGACCTAAGAAATTGAGAACAAAAACTAAACTTCTATCTTGTATTTTTATCGCTTTGTTTTTTTCTTAATAATATTTTTTATTATTTTCTTTTTTTTTATTAAAAAATAGTTTATATTTTTTGTTCAAGTGCAGAAGTCTGTTGAAGGTCTCCATAATGTTGATGGACACTCGCTTTGATTTGCTGCTGCTGTTCCTCGTGTGGCTTTTCTTTTGCCAGTTATATCCGCACTAACGACTTGCCAGTTGATGTCATACGTGCGGTTTCATCCGAGGACAACGACACCGATACCGACACTGGTGGCATCACCTCCACTCCTGGCTGGTATCATCCTCATCCGCATCCTCATCATCATCATCATTGCTCCCGACTGTTTGCGATGTCCTTTGACACAGTTCATACAGTCCCAGGTCCCAGGTCCTCATTCTCTTTAGGCAGCATCACATTTAAAATCAATTTCATGGCCCGTGCCAGGACGACGGACGACTTACAGAGCCGCGCATAGAAAATCCCTGTTTTTGTGCCTCAGCCGCAAATGCAAATATAAACATATGTGATGCCCACAAAAAAGAAATCCTTTTCAAGCTGTAAATATTTCCCTAACGTCGCCAAGTCAAACAACCGGGTGTTGTCGTTTGTGAAAGTCAAAGGACACATTTTGTTAGTAAATATGTTTTTATTTTGATATTAAACTAACATAATAGATAAACATTTCCCTAGAAAACAAGGTCAAATATATAACTAATTAACTTAAAATTATACTATTCACATTTAAAAACTGCCTACATCAACTGTTTTCATAGTTTGAAATCTGTTTGGATGTCCTTACAACAAAAATACCATCAGTTGAGGAAATTAATTATCAACAAAAACTTTACAAATATTTTACAACCTTGCCTTTACCTAAAAATAAATATATACATGCCTTTAAATAAATGTTATTCATCTATTATCGGCGCCAAAAGAGCATTAAATCGTCGACTAATGCACAAAACTTATGTAAAATATTTTTTATTTTCGTTTCATAAGCCTTTCACTTCCAGTGAGTGAGTATTTATGTCTAAAAGCCCACAGGAAAGGTCGTTACTGATAAGTCGTCAGCCACTCAGTCAGTTGGCCATCGGCTGCATCAAGTATACGCCCCGTTGTTCGATGGAGCCGGGCAAGCAGTGCAATGCACTCTCTGCTAAGGACTTCCGGTAAGACGGATTTGGGCATCATTCAGTTTCCCGTGAACTCCAATTAAGCAGCTGGCAAAATGCGAATTGCTTCAAGTTATTTGGCAATCCTGAGGCACCTGTTCCTGGTGTTCTGTGTGTTTTTCTTGCCACTCACAGAGACTTTTGCTCGTGTGCCAAGAGCAATAAAAGTTTGCCGTCCCGACCGACGACGATGGCAGGCGGAATTATTCATTCGACATTTAAGTGTCTGCCGACACGTGCAATGTAAAAGTTTTACACACCTGCATACATTACACAATCCCGGGCATAAGCCATTAAAGGAAAGCGGAGCTTAAAGATGCCGCACACCATCGGTGGGTGGAAAGTGGGAAATGGGAAACGACAAATTGGCTGCTTTTCATCTGCATTGGGGCCAAAGAATATGCATATGGAATTAGCTGATGGCCAAAAGCAATCGATTTGATTAATTTTTAAAATGTTAAACTAAATATTTATTTATAGAAGTTTATAGTGGGATGAATTATTGTAATTTTATTTAAAAGTTAAAGCTAAAAAAAAGGTTAAACAATTTGTCAATCCATTAACTAAAGATCAGCCTTGAATACCTCTCAAGTTCGCTTGAAAAATCGTTGCCGAACGATGACAAATTGGCCCCCTTTCATCTGCATTGCTTACCTTTTTGGCCAATGAATCTGCATATGGAATTTTCTGATGGCCAAAAGCAATCGATTTTCATCTTCGGTCTCCTCTCTTTTTTTTCGGCGGAACGAAAGTGATTTCCTGCCAGGCATTGCCGCCAAAAACTTCATCAAGCTGCCATCTCTTATCGTCGGTGGAAAGATGATGTAGACATTGCCATCTTCACTCCCCGCTCCCACTTTTGTGGCTGCATGCCTGGAATATCTTCCGTTTCCGCAGTTTTGATGTCTTCCTCTTGTTGGGCGGAGGGAGGGAGGAGTACAAGGAGCAACCGGCAGTGCCGCAGCCAGTAAGTGCCAAATAATAACCGAGTGTTGGCAAAACAAATCGAAGAGTTACAAATGCACAAAATAAAAGTAAATCGAAACCGCAAATTCCCGGAGCCCACAGCATACAGTATATTTGATGCAACCCGAAAACACTCAACTATGAATGCGATTTTCATGTAAATCCAATCGGCTTTGGCACGTGCACGACCCCAAAAAACCAAACAACAAAAAAATAATAAAACTAGACAATAAGTTTCGCCTAACACCGGCTGTAAAAATAATCAATGTTTTTGGTAAGGGGAAGCACATAAAAAAGCAGATTGCGGTTAACAATTGTTGGCATTTAAGGAAAGTTTTAGAATGCGTGAAAAAGGTCACCTGTGTTGGTATTTGATGGGGTTTACTTTTGGTTTTTAATCTTAAATATTAGATAATTATAATAACCAAGAAATTCTATAGTAAAAACTAGGTTTTTATAGACTATGAACCCGTTACAGTAAACTTAAGCTTAACTTTACTTCACTTTACACAAGAAGTAAATTCCTGGATAACTTGACAAATTATTAAGAAGTCAAAATCCCAATCCTAATAAAATAAATACTTGTACCATTTTCAATAGAGTAACAAAATGATCTAATAATCAATTTGTGGAATGGGAAAAAAACCATAAAAAGTCAGATTGCGGTTAACATGTGACCGCGCGTTTTATGGGCGTTTAAAAACGCGCGAAGAGGGTCACCTATGGTGCATACTTTTATGTGGCATACTTTCGGGCTAGCCATAAAAAATTCAACTGAGAGTCGGCCATATTTTAATGGGTCTTGTCGGCCATTGTTGATCTAACTGCAACACTCACAGAACGGTTGGCAGTGGGGGGCGGAAGGTATAGCCAAAGAATGGAGAGGCGTGACGCCAACAAAAGGACGAGAAAGCCAAACAATCGCTGTCTAAACGCATTGTGTGCGCTTTGTGCGGCCTGAAAAGGGGAAAGGATCACCAGGAGACACACAGCCATATCACATATCGCGGCCGTGTCAATGCAAATGTCTATGAATGCGAAAATTCACATTGATGCCGCTTTGTCGCATTGTCTGCCTGGGTGCCTTGCTGCCTCGCCTCCTTGCTGCCTGCTTGTGTGCGGAAATATTGTTTGTTGGCTTTGCCGGTTTGTTGGTCTGTTTGGTAAACGGCAAGGCGACAAACACAAGATGTTAGTCGATTGTGGTTACGTTTGTGAGCAGCCAAACACTTCACTTGATGTGTGACGATGCGTCGTGTCAGTCGATACGGTTTATTATTGCCAGGCGAGCGAATGACTAACCAGATGTCACAAAGGGGATGAGCCTCCATCTCCGGTGTCGGGAAAATCGAGTTTAACAATTGCCGCAAACAAACCGCAAATGATTACTATTATGTTAGGGGAGTTATCACCGCCCAAGCTCATAGATTAATTATTTTCTGACTGACACAAAGATAAACAATTGATAAGATAGGGTTTATTATTTGGTTTAGTTTTTAGATTATTTATAACAAAAACAATATGAGCAGCAGCTGGTAGTTCGTAGTTAATTTTTTTTTTGGTTCATTGTTTTCTAATACTTTGAAATTAATTTTTTTTTAGATAAATATAGAACAATATATATAAAGCCTGAATACAAGTGAACATGAAAGCCAATCAGCTGCCAATTGACTTGCTGACCCAGCGGCATTAATTAATTGAAACGCTTTTGGTTTGTCTGGTGTTTGGCCAAGACCAGAAGTCTTGGTTACAGTTGTGTCAAGACGCTTGAGATAATTGGAAAATGCCAATGTCAATATTTAATACAGGAAGCGATGTCGTAGCGTATCTATTTTTGAGAAATCAACGTTAAGAGGGCAATGATTTAAGTCTCAAGTGAATAAACTGCATAAAAAGCGTATATTTAAAAACAAAAATCCTTTAAAAATCTAAAATGAGCTAAAGCTCATGATATATATGAAAAACAGGTTTTCTTTCAAATCTTTCAAACAGGAATTAGCACTTAACTTAACAATAAACTAACATAAACTATATTCTGATTAACACATTTTGCGTAACAATACCGTAAGGTCACTTAAGTGCTTGATATTTCTCCCATTTAAACGTTTTTTAGATTGGTTAAGGGTTAAACACTTTCTGAACGGCCTGGGTTAGTTCCACGCTTAGGTTGCCCAGGCAACCCTGGAACAAGATGTCTCCAATTAGTTTTCGGGCCAGGACCTTTTGATGCTGGTCCATTTCTTTGTACTGGGCACTCCAGGATAAAGCTATGGGGTCCTCCAGGATACTGGAATTGTTTGATTTCTGGCTCGATGTGCTACTTTGGAACTCTTTTGGTGTCTGTAAATATTAAATCATGAATTTAAATATATTTAAAAATAAGTATACGCCTTTTCTTTACCCTATTGTCAAATCTGTTAAGTTCAGAGCAGCTAACAGCCTCATGGGAATCTTCAACAGCTCGGAAGTCCTTTTGCTAAAATCATAAAATTAATAGTTACAAAATAACTTCAAGTTTTCTAGCATTAAACACCTGACTAGCAGCTTCTTCCTCTATGAGATCATCGTTACTCTCCAGGTGATTGCTCAGGAATAACAAGAGATTGTAACACCATAGTTTTGGCACATAAGTCAACATGGAGCTTTCGGCATCCAAAACCTTTCTGTGTTCGCGATGAAATGCAGAGCGAAAGTGGTTGATCCTACGCTTGGCCATGTCCATAGAGGCAGCTCTGGGATAGATCTCCCTTAGCTTGTCTACAAGAACCTTATAGTCTCTGCTCTTTTGTTGCCAGTCCCAGTACTCGAAGCTGTCCGTGTTCCAGAGCGAGGGTAAGCCTTTGTAAATTTGGAGAAACTCCTGCCAGAAGTTAAGGTTCTCCTGCAGCCCATCCTCTTCGCTGTCGCAGTCGCTGTCCACCAGCATCTCATCATAGAGCTCTATGTAGTCCTCGTAGTTGAGCTGCTTCGGCCATGGGCTGTATATGTCCTGGTCTTCGCTCCCCTCTTCTAGCTCCTCTGACATTTCACGGCTACCCTTCCAGTGCAGCGATTTGTCCAGGAATCTCAACTGGTGGAAAAACCACAGGGTTGTGGAGCACCGCTCTCCCGCCCGCCTGTGGATATCCAGCATACGCTTCTCACGCCTGTAGTTTGTCCGAAAGCAGTTGATTTTCTTGATCGCAGTTTGGCGGTCCGCCTTCGGATACCGTTCGCGCAGCTTGGCCACCAGTTGCTGGTAAGCCTGGGCCTTGAGGCACTTGTTGGCGTATTCTTTGCTGCCACGGCGCCACAGCGAGGGCAGGGCTCTGTACAAGTCAATAAAGTCAGTCCAGAAACGACGATCTCGGTTCATAATTAACTTTTAATTAACATGGCCTAATCAAAAAACAAACAAATCGGAGTGTGACCGCCTGCTTTGCCGCCCATGAAATTGAAATTGGCCAGCGAATTCGAGATATTTACCTCTCCGGTAAACGGTCACACTAATATAAACGGCAGTATGTCCGCTTCAGCAAAGTTCTCCACCTTCTGGCATATTTAGGATTTGTTAGTATCAAATGTGGTTCATGTATCAGGTGTGGATTTTTTTAGGGAGAAACTACAACTTTCGAGATTTTTAGGGGGAAACCCAAATATGGCTGCCTGGTCCCTCTATTTCTTTCTTTTCTGCACCACGTTTCCGAACGAGTTGTCAAAATGAACGCCAGCCTGCCAATTTCCAAGAAACGCAAGGTAATTTGATGAAAATATCGCTGCCCAACGTCCTGGATACCGTGCCGGGACCGCCCGCCCTTTGTCGCGCCGGAGTTGTGTGAAAAAGTCGCCCGGAAAGTGTCCAGTTGGTGGCGGTTCGGAGATAACCTCAAACGGATGGGCGTCCCAAAGTCTTCGCAGCGTGGAGAGGGCTCTAAACAACAAGTTGGATCGGTGGTAATAATGGTTTCCCTTCCGCTTGCAGTTCGTTTCCGATGGTATCTTCAAGGCCGAGTTGAACGAGTTCCTGACTCGTGAGCTCGCCGAGGATGGCTACTCCGGCGTGGAGGTGCGTGTGACCCCGTCCCGCACCGAGATCATCATCATGGCCACCAAGACCCAGCAGGTGCTGGGCGAGAAGGGCCGCCGCATCCGCGAGCTGACCGCCATGGTCCAGAAGCGTTTCAACTTCGAGACCGGCCGCATCGAGCTGTACGCCGAGAAGGTGGCCACCCGTGGCCTGTGCGCCATCGCCCAGGCTGAGTCGCTGCGCTACAAGCTCACCGGAGGACTGGCTGTCCGTCGTGCTTGCTACGGCGTGCTGCGCTTCATCATGGAGTCCGGCGCCAAGGGCTGCGAGGTCGTCGTCTCCGGCAAGCTGCGCGGTCAGCGTGCCAAGTCGATGAAGTTCGTCGATGGCCTGATGATCCACTCTGGTGATCCGTGCAACGACTACGTCGAGACCGCCACCCGTCACGTTCTGCTGCGCCAGGGCGTGCTCGGCATCAAGGTCAAGATCATGCTGCCCTACGATCCCAAGAACAAGATCGGCCCCAAGAAGCCGCTGCCCGACAACGTGTCCGTTGTGGAGCCCAAGGAGGAGAAGATCTACGAGACGCCCGAGACGGAGTACAAGATCCCGCCACCCAGCAAGCCCCTGGACGACCTCTCCGAGGCGAAAGTTTTGTAAACCTAGTTTTACTGTTCATCCAATGAGCGACTAGCAGGAGTTGCCCTCTAAATACAACAAACAAAACAACAGAAACAAAACCCCAAATAATTCAATAAACAAAATCAATAAGTAACCGAGAACGCGAGCCCGGCTGTGTGTGCGGATCTCATTTGTGCAGTGCAGTGTAGGGCCCGAGGGTTGGCTCCAAAGTTCCCCAGCGATGACCAAACCAGTTTGCTAGCCAACATACCTTTTGTCGGGTATGTGTTTCTTCCTCGCACTTTTTTTGTATTTCCATTCCATTTCTCGTGAAGCGGAAATCAGCGATTAAAACGACTCACATTTTGTCCATTTCTTTTCGTTGTTTTCTGCGAGAAGGAGGCTGCTGCTGATTTATGAGGCTGTCCTTCGGGTACACGAGTGTCCGTCCGCAGCTGATAACCCGGCTCCGCTTATGGGCCTCTTATTTATCATGTTGATATGTTTATTTCCAAGCCTGGCACAGTGACACGGCCCCGGGCAATTGCAGCGTGAAAATCAACAATCGTTCAATTTATCAACATTTGCGAGATTATAACCGCGGGAGAAAGAGAGTTTCACCTCGGCCAGGAGGAGCGGGAGAATCACTGACTGGGGGCCCTGGCGTCGTGCCCGTTTGAAACGGACTGAAATCGCAGCTGCAGCACACGATCCTCGACCGATGACAAATGGCCACATGCAACACTCACCAAGGAGGAGTGGAGGTGGTGGCCATGGAGGAGGAGGAGGAGGAGGCTTGTCTCGGCGGCATCACGCATCAAGTTGCGATTTGCGCCATAAATCTAAATTAGCCTGGCTGGCTCTCTGAGAGCAGCGGTTCCTGGTTGCGCGCCGCCGCTATTACTACCTAGGCTCGCGCTCCTCCACTTGGTCCACTTGCCCAATCAATTAGAGGTGCACATAAAAGCAGACGAAACAAATTTCAGGCCATCTGAGACTGTGAGAAATTTTTCCTGGTTGCAATTGTTCTTGCTATTGTTGTTGCTATTGTTGTTGCTATTGTTATTGCTCTTGTTGCCGTTGCTGCGGTGCTTTTCAACGCTGGCATAAATCATAGAGAACCTTTTAAACACGACTTTGAACGTATGATTTCAACACAATTTGTAAATAAATTAGATCGTGATTATGGCAACATCAATATCGCCAGGCCACATCGACATCAACAGCGTCAGGCATCTCCTCGTAGCAGCAACATTATTAACCTAACCGGCCAATGTCTGGCATGTGTGGCTGCCATAGCTCTCCTCCTGCCGTCCTAACTATATATTATAATGGCCAAAACACAACAAACCGACAACAGCAATAACAACGAGGCGAAAACAAAACAAAACAAAAAAAAATACTCAACAATTGCCGTCAACAAGTCTGCAAAGTCGGCGACTCGCAGCGCAAAAATGTGTTGCTGGTGGTGTTGTTGCTAGTCCATGTTGCAGTGTTGTGTGTGCGAGAGTGCAACATGCATATTGTGTCCGTCTGTCGAGGCTGCGCGGGTTCATAACTTGCCTGTCAGCTGCCAGACTGAGTTCTGACATGGCCAGGAAACCCCGTCAAAGCTAGGACACTTTTGTCATACACTCTTGAAGTTGGAGGTATGTGTTTTGGGGAGTAAAAATATTAATATTAATATAAGAAATTTGATTAAACAGTTGTGTGAGTAAGAATATGTTTTTTTGTAGTATTGCCTATAAAATATCTATTTAAATCTCAAGGGGGCTATATTTACCCAGAAAATAGTTTTTTAGACCAAAAATAAATACATTATTTTAGTTTTTTAAGAGGTACAAGCTACACCTGCATATATTCTTTTAAATATTAAATCCTATTCTATCCCAACTTCTATTTTAATATACCAAAACTTTACAAAATAAGTCACAAACCCAATGGACCCCATTCGTTGCCAGAAGTTTACAATAACAATGCACATCGTAACTGTAATAGTTGCAACTATTTTTGTAAGGTTGCTTCGAGTCTGACTATATTTGCTTTGATTTACCAACATTATTATGAGGTTTTGTGTCATGATTTTGCCATCATTATTTAGCATTAAGAAACGATGGCGCGTAATGTGTTTTTCATGTGAACTGCCAGGCCAGACGACATTTATCATCATCATCGCTGCATCGCAGCATCGCTGCATAGCTCCATCGTCCCCAACAGATCCAAGCTCCCAGGTCGGAGTCGGAATTGCTGCAGCTGGAGCCGTAGCAACCGATCACTGGTAATAGCCACGTTTGCCGGCCTCCTGCACGATCGTCTGGAGTGCGGCAAAGGCTTCACCGGCCGTGGGCTCAATCTCGCTGGCGGATAAGATGAACAGATCCTCACTGTCCGCCGGTCCGCGTAGCTCGTACGAGTAGGTGATGGGTATCTTCAGGTGTCCATGGGCCCAATCCTTGGAGCCGCCACTCGACGGGTAGATGGTCTCGTAAATGCTGCCACTCTTGTAGATCCGTCCGCTCACATCCTTGATCCTTTGGGCAGCCAGCTGGCCAATCTCCTTCAGGTCCTGGTAGTTCTCCACACGTTCCGCACTGTGTCCGTAGGGGAACATGATCATCTGGGAGTAACTGTGGAGCGATATAAAGGTGCGAATCCGCTCGGATTGGACATTGTGCTCCAGGAACTGCACTATCCTCTGGGTCTCAACCTCACTGCCCGCCGAGGGCCCCGAGTAATCATAGCGGCAGGGGTCGCCACTTGCTCCGGTTACGTTCCAATGGAAGGGAAAGTTCCGGTTGAGGTCCACACCCCGGCAGATGCCGAAGAGAGCGCGATTCTTGCGCCACATGCGATCCCCCTGAAAGGTGTAGCGGTAGCCATCGGGATTGACGCTGGGAAAGATCAGCCAGTTGTGGGAGCGTGCCATTTCCTGGACAACTGGATCCTCAGAGTTCAGCAGCTGGTCAATGAAGTAGGTGGCCGTAGCAGGTGCAATCCACTCGCGCGCATGGATACCGCTCTCCACAAAGACACTCGTGAGATTCTCCTTGCCGAAAGCGATTCTCACACCTTTAATGGGCAATCCCTGAGTGCTTGAGCCCAGGTCCAGCAGGCTAACCACCTCGGGTCGCTTTTTGGCCAGACTGTCCAGCCAGTCGTAGATGCTCTCCAGCGGATGGTAGCGTTTCCAGTCAAACTGTTCGGGTGTCGTGCCCTCGGGTGCCACCTCGCGGTAGTTGGCATCGATCAGCGCCTGGAAATTGTGGTTCAGGATGCGATGGGTCACGTTGTAGCTGTGCACCAGGTCATCGAAGTCAGCCACCTTGGCGGCCGTAACCATGATGGTTAGCTTCTGGCCCGGCACTCGGGCATGGCCCATGAAGGAGCACGAATCGCTGGCTAGCTCCAGAGCTTGGAAGAGCCGAACATGCTCCTCGCTTGCCAACTCCACTTGGTAGATCCGCGTGTAATCGTAGCGTGCCTGGGCGGGCACTGGAACTGCCACTGGCTTAATCTCCTGACCCAGGGCACACTGATCCGCCTTGGTGCAGAAGCTAGCTGCTCCGGACTGGTGTAGAAGGAGCAGGAGCAGCGGTAGAGGAGTCCATTGAGGTAACATCTTCACACTCTGGCAGTCGAAATAATTTTAATATTTTTTCATTTCCCTTTGTCTCCCACAGCAGAGAGTGAAGTATCAACACAAAACGAAATGGTGATAAGGAAAATAAATATATGTACATAAATAGATTAGAATAAAATATGCGAATAATTGATACCCAGGAA